CAAGTGACAAACCAAACCTCACTGACATTTTCTTGGCCCCTACTTAAATAAGAAAATAAGAAAGGCCAGGTAAAAAATGATATATTATAGTGTATTGTAACAGAGACCATAATGCTATTAAGAAAGGAGGGGTCAGACACATTCCTGGTCCTTTCTCTCAATCCTCTATGTGCCTGAGGGGTTAGGGGTTGAAGAGGGATAGTTTAGGTTCTCTGATGCCAGATAAGATGAGAGAAAGCCTGCAAAGGCGAGCTCAAGCCCCTGGTGAATTATTACTGTAACTTTAGGGCCTGCGCATCAACTATGGTTGTTTAAAACCTGCTAAGCTGGTTAATTTGATTATCTCAGGTGATCTGGTTATGACAACGATGCCCTCCTTACAAGCTTTAAGCCTTACACTTTGAATATGGTACATTTTGAACATAGCATATTTTGCATGTCCTGTGTTTCTGATCTTTTGTTTTCTAGTACAAATGCTAATAAATGGACTGACTGGTTAAAAAACAATTTCCTCTTGTCTTTAAGCTAAAGTTCCAAAAACGTAACAGTGGCTCTGAAGCATAATTATTTCCTATGAAAATACAAGGCGTCTTCAAAAAAAAAAAGCATCAGTCAACAGGTAACAAAATTGACTTTTCTCATTTCTATTGTAGTGGTGTTAAAACTGCTCTAATCAATATTTCACTGAAAAACGTTATTTATTAGTGTTGAAACCAGCAAATTAGCAGTCAACTCTGCATTTGCCCTCAGCGCTACGAAACCTTTTAGTCTCTTTCAGGCCTCCAACTGTCATTAAACTAATTTCCAGCTGTGTCATGCAGCTGTTTTTAGTGAAAGAAAAATCTAAAACCCAACTGTACCCGATGACCAGGTTCTAACCCAAATTTTTAATAGAATTTTTATATGTAACTAAATCCTCATTTGTTATTTCAAATGTACTAGACACTAGGCAGGTTTTTGTGAAGTTTGGTCTGTGTCAAGACAAAAGAAGCATATTGTATTCCACTTCTGTAGAGAGTCGTAATAGGGCACTGGACCGAAGAAGGTGCAATTACTGGCTATCAATGTTTGGGCAGGCCGAGCCAGGTAAGAGATTTGATTTTAGCTTGCTGTCATCTCATCAGGGTATAGCAGATGACGTGGACTGTCAAAGCATCATTTAAATAGCCGTACAACGATCTGTTCTTGGATTTTGTTACAAGCAACACAGAGCTGCACACTGCACACAGAAGAAAACCATCTTCTGTCTGATCCGAGGCAGAGACAGCCGCTTACAAATTGCAGCTTTCTAATAGAGTTCTCTTATCCTCCCCTGCCCTGAAGTGTGTCCTTAAAACTCCCACTCCATAACAAATGAGTAAATAAAACATGCTGCACAGATGAACGTAACTGAAATGCTGACTGGACAGTGATGGATCTTGAGGGACTAAGGGGCTTTCAAGCACTCCAGTCTAAAACACTGCCTCCCTAACACTTTCCCGTGGGATGTCTACCTTTCTTTGAGGGGAGAGAAATCATCCTGACATTGTGCAGCTAGCTGATGGACGAGCATGCACATGAAAAAACAAATGCACAAGAATATGTTAATAGGAAACATAGAGTATAGCGAGCACTGTCAGTTGGAATGTAAAAGGCATATGGGGAAAAACTCTAAAAAGAAGGATCCAGCGGCTGGTTTGTGTTAGGATGACTGTACAGCATGGAGCTATGTTGGCCAAGATGAGACAGAGCTTTAGCAAAGGGCGAGGTCCCTTCCACAGGCATGATGAACATTTTGGCAGCTCTGAACGTCCCGGAAGCTGAAACTGAGTATATTATCATCAGATGAAATCATGGCCACACACACACTTCTAGTGCACGCAGACTACAATGCATTCACCTTAGTAAAAGTTTACACCAGGCAGCTTTAAATTAAATTTAGCCATATGCAACCTATGCACCCTACTACAGTATGGAATATAGTTTGTCACAACAAAACTGGGCTGTGACTACACTGTAAAAGCAAACAAACAAACATATTTGAATTTTCCAAGCTGGAATCTGCAAAATGTTGGTAATTTACCAAATTACTTAAAACTATAGATTATTCAAATTTTTAATAAAATTAAATGCTCTTTTTTTTTTTGAACTGATAACTTACAGCATCTGACACTGATTTGTGTGCTGAGTTTAATGAATTAATTCAATTAATTGATTTAATGTTGTGAGCTGTGCCCGTGAAGATGCAGCAGTTGACCTCTAATGGCCACATTTCCTACAAATAAACACAAGCTACACTCAGTAGACTAACACATTCACACAGTCAGCATTATCCCAAGATCCCTCAAGAATTCCAGAAAACTTCATCCAAGCTCTTTTGTGGCCTGGGATCCATCTGGGAGGGTCCGACAACTCTCCAGCCAGTGAATTACATTGGCTATGATGTCATTCTCTGGGCTCCCACTATACCCCATACGCCCACACCCCTGAATTGAGCAACACAAACACACGTGCATACAAGAAATGCCACTGTTATTAATGAGATTAACATGTGAAAAGATCAACACTGCTTTAACGCTTGTTTAGAAAAAGAAATCTAGTCTTTCTCTCTCTTTATCTCCATCTTCTTTTTACTCCTTCAGGCTCTGGCTCTTTGCTCGTCTCTCTCACACACAGAAACCATGTCTTATTTATCCACTTCCTTTCTGTGTATATTGTGGATTCCTAAATCTAAGGTCTCTTGTCTGTGCTTTCTCAGCCCAACTGGAACCTGCAAGAGTGTTTTTCATGTAGTGTTTGGGCCAATTTATTATCTATTGTTTTATACAAAACTGAGGGTCTCCCAAGAAGAAATCCTAAAGTCTGGACGGGAGGAAAGAAACAACCACACATTTCTTCTTTGAAAGACCAGTACCACACTTGGTAATGACATAAACAAGCAGCTCTGAGCTTGGATTCCCTTACTCATGCACTGCTTGTCGATTACCTGAATTTTCTGCTCTGATTTGTCAATAACCAAAACTGTTTTCACATCTCCTTTGTGAACCACAGTTACCTTATGTGAACCAGCAGATTCAGTGTTTCATCATCCTGGTCCCCAAGACGCCCTCCATCAGTGGACTGACAGACTACAGACATGTCACACTGCCATCTGTAGTTATGAGAGTTTTTCCATTTGTCTCGTTCAAAGTTTTACATGTTATTTCTGTTTCTGTGTGATGTGCTTGGGGTGTGACCAGTTACCACAGGACTGGTCCTCACACTGTAAACACTGATAGAGAGAGATTATGGTTGTGTGTCTGCATATGTGTGCGTGTCAGTCTTTTGATGTGCAGCCTGTCTTTTGTTGTTTTTCCATGTTATCACAGAGATTCCTCTACTCTTCCTGTCTCTCACAGTGCATCGCTGTCTTTATCAGGAGGTAGAGCAGGATGTGAAACCCCTACATACCGTTCACTCCTCTGTCTTCTCACTGTGTCCTCATTGTGTATCAACCTCCCTTTGACTCCTTTAATCTCTAACTTTCACAGTTTCAGGTGTTTTTATGTCATTTTCTGTTTTTACTCTTGCTAGTGAGGCTGTTAGGCTCTGTAAGGGCAGTATCAGCCAGCTGCTGGGTGGATTGGTGGGTCAGGTCAAGCTAGAGGTCTTCAATGGTCCACAGTTTCCAGTCAAATCATCAACCTCAGCTGGGCTCTTTGTAAATGCAGTGGGTCAGTGTGTAATTATGTGCAACACCAAATGAGTGTGAAGGAATCTGCTAGCAGCTCTGCTCATGTAGTGCAGCGGTTTTCAACTAACTGTGACCAAGGGACCACCATTCTGACCAAGATGTAACCTGAGGACCACTGTTGTGAGGTGGATAGATCGGAGGGGAACTGTTTTCATCTTAAACGTCATCTTGGCTTTTCTAAATCTTACATATTTGAATCCATTTGTTTATTCATGAGCAATAAGTAATACATAGAAATGTGTTTAACAATTCCTACAGTGACATTATTGGATGCATGAGCTGGGACCACCTGCAGTGCCTTCATGGACCACCAGGGGGGCCGTGGACCACTGGTTGACAACCCATGATGTAGTGTATCATTATCATCTCCAAAGAAAAGTGTTTTTGAGGTGAGAAGAAGAGTATGGAGTGCAGTTAATATGTACTACATCTATTTTTGAACATGATGGAGCATCATGCTGGGGTCAGTGATGGCGCTCTCTAGATATGGTGTATTCTTGAAAGCAAATGGGCAGCTAATGCACATGCATGCCTTAACAAGTATTCTCAATCAGGTAAATAATATGTGGGTTCGCTGATTTCTGTGCTATATTCTCACACCTACATAACTAATTAATCTAAAGTACATGTCCATAATAGCAAATATTATGGCATCAACTCATATACTCTGTATCTGCTCTCTGAAAAGGTTATTGGATTACTCTATAAACAGACAGAATAGCTCCATTAAATATCTAATTAAATGGGCTACTTTACAGAGTGGTATGTGACATATCTCTGTGTTT